GGGAAAGAGACTGAGGACCACAGTGTCTGAGCCGTCAGGGGCCTCACCCCTGGGGTCTTCGGGGTCCCCAAATTCTGGTGTAGAAGGCTGCTGGGTCAGGCTGAGATCCTCTGCAGGCTGGGTGGGCTCCATGGGGAAGCTGGTGGAAAGGTCAAACAGGGAGAGATAGCAATAATTATTGACAACTCATTAAATAGGCACTGACTGCATACCCGGCCTCACACAGTGAGGGTGGGTAAACTAAGACTCAGCCAGGAAATTAAAACCAGAGTCCAACTGCTTCTCAGGCCCACTCCTCCCCAACACCAGAGCACATACAATATGCATTGCTTAAAAGCCCTGGCTCTGGGGTCAGCCATCTGGGTTTGAATCCCTCCACTTATAGGCTGTGAAAACTTGGGCACATTACTTAATTTCTCTAAGCCTCAGTGTCTTCATTAATAAAATGGGGGAAAGGAGGACTAAAAAAGTCATGTCTGTAAATATCTAAGCAGGAGGCCTGATACACGGGCAGATCTTAAACGTCCGCTGTGTTTTGTTTTGTGTTGTTTTTGAGGGGGGGGGAATCCCTAGAATGAGTGAGGGCTCAACAAAGATGTGATTGGTTGCATCCCACCCGCCCCTCCCAAGTCAATCCAGGAGGTCCACTCACCTCCAACGAGCCTCCTCTGTCACTCCACGCCGCAAGCCCGGGTCCCCCCAAACTTGGGGGCCCAACTCACAAACTTTTCTCTTCCAATTGATGTAATGGGTAGCAAAATGGAGCCTGGACCCTCTGCGCCCTGGCTTCTTCTGCCGGGACAGAAAGCAACTTGATACGCGACCGCTACCCACACCGCAGAGTGCCTCCACTGCGCCTGCGCGCCCCCGCCCCCCCGAAAGTGCGTAAGGGCTGGAGCTGTAGGAACTGTTTCTGGCCCTTTAAGGCTTGGGGGGCGTGGCTTCCTCTGGGGCAAGAGCTATGGAATTGCGCCTGCGCTTCCTCGTCCCCGCCGCTCGGGAGGGAGCCTAGTAGGAACTGGAGGGGTGGGCGGGGCCTCAGAGGGCTCGCAAGAGTTCCCTGACCTTCTCCTCCCTCACTCCCAATACCACCCGCAGGTTTTCCCAGACGGAGCCAATTAGCTCCACCTTCGGACAGACGGCGTCCCCGTCCATAACAATGTCTCCTGTGCGGTCCTGGGGGCTCAGGAGTATGTGCAGGGATTTGGTGGTAGCAGAGGGGTACAAGAAGGGAGTTTATACGGCCCGAAGTGGGCAGTGTGTGGAGTATTCCCCCAATTTGCCCCCGGAAAAGGGGTTCGGTAAAGGAGGGCGCCCTTCCCCTTCCCCTGCCTGAGTATCCCTCCTGGAGCTTCAAGGGGTTCCCGGCCCCTCTTCACCCACCTGACGATTGCCTCTTTCCCCAGTCTCTAACTCACGGCCCCTCTCCGGTCTGGGGAGACTAAAGATCGAGGAGGGCAGGCCAATGAGTGTCGGAACTGGAGAAATGCGGTGCCCCAGTTTCCCAGGGGTGGTTTAGGCAGCTGTTTCCACCCCAGACTTCCGGTTCCTGTCCTCGAAATAGGGCCGCAGCCACCATGGAGGAGCCGGAGATGCAGCTCAAGGGGAAGAAAGGTGGTGTGGGGCCCCGGGCGGGCGGAGGGGTCAGGAGCTCGCAAAAGAGCGACCAGACTGGGGGCGGGAGGGGGCCAAGGCGCGGAAGGAGCGTTTGGGAGGTGTGATTGAACTGCCACGAAATCGCGGCTCGGCCGTTGACTAGTTTTGAAACCTTTAGAAAGTCTCTGTTCCACGACTTTGTCATCTCTGGAATGGTGAGTATAATAGACTCCCTCCCTCCCTCCCCCCCTAAAATTGTTGTGATAATTCAGTAACTTGATAAATATTTTTTAAATTAATTTATTTTTGGCTGTGTTGTGTCTTGGTTGCTGTGCGGGCTTTCTCTAGTTGCGGTGAGTGGGGGCTACTCTTACTTGAGGTGCGGAGGCTTCTCACTGCGGTGGTTTCTCTTGTTGCGGAGCACGGGCTCTAGGCGCGCGGGCTTCAGTAGTTGTGGCACACAGGCTCAGTAGTTGTGGCTCACGGGCTTTAGAGCGCAGGCTCAGTAGTTGTAAAACCCGTGCTTAGTTGCTCTGCGGCGTGTGGGATCTCCTCGGACCAGGGCTGGAACCCGTGTCTCCTGCATTGGCAGGGGGATTCTTAACCACTGCACCACCAGGGAAGAAGCCCCCCAGGGAAGCCCCCAGTAATCTGATATTTGTAAAGCATTGGAAGAACGCTTGGGGCGTGGCGTTTGCTGTGCGTATTGTTTCCTTTGTATTTAGCATTTGCATACGTTTACATCAACTTATCAAATATATGTAAATCACATAGTTACAAATTACAAAATGCCACAAGTTATTTTTAAAGTATAAATGTCTTTGTTACTTTATTATATATGTTATTACTAGTTAATTTTTTCTTTTTTTTTTGTTTTTTACAAATTTATTTGTTTATAGTTTGTTTGTTTGTTTTTGGCTGCGCTACCCAGTTTGCGAAATCTCAGTTCCCCACCAGGGATTGAACCCCGGGCCACAGCAGTGAAAGCCCGGAATCCTAACCACTAGGCTACCAGGCAAGTCCCACTAGTTAATTATTTAGAAGTCACAAGTACATGTAATTCCATATCCTTCATAATAGCACTGTGAGGTGTAAGCTACTGTGCTCATTTTCAAAACAAGGAGGCCTAAGAAGGTAAGAGGACTCATAGTTTGGAGGTGGCAGGCTGGGCTCTGCCTGAGTCAGGACACCGTGGTGAGCTGGACAAACCCAAACTGGACAGACTCATAGACATCCTCCCTTGACTCCCAGACACACGTGGGTTCTCTCCCTCACAAAATACACTGCCCTGCGCAATAGCACAGGGTCCATCTCTGTAACAAACCTTGAGGTGGGTACCTTTATCATTCCATTTTTGCATATGAGGAAACAGGCTCAGAGAAGCCCACGCCCTCACAAATCAAGTTTTAGGTAAACATGTAACCTAATAAAGAATGAGAATTTTTACACCTGAAACTAACACAACATTGTAAATCAACTGTACTCCAATATAAAATTTAAGAAAAAAATAGAGTGAGATTTTAAGTATAAGGGAAATGAACAAAGTGCTGAGGCTGAGAGTGAAGGTGAAGGGACATCTGATTAAGCTTGGTGATTCGGGAAGGCCTTGCCCAGGCGGTGACATTTGAGCTGAGACCTGAGGGATTAAGAGAAATGATGGTTGTGGGGGAGGGAGGCAGTGTCAGTGGTGGGATCAACAGGTATGAAGGCCCTGAGGTGGCAAAGTATTCAGAGCTGTGCTGCAATACAGTAGCTACTGGTCACAGTACTTATGCATATTTAAATTAATTAAAGTTAGATAAAATTTAAAATTCAGTTTCTGAGTCACATCAGTCACATTTCAAGTGCTCAGTAGCCATATGTGACTAGTGGCTACCCTATTGGGCAGTATAGATTATAGAAACTTTCCATCATTGCAGAAAGTTCTTTTCGACAGTGCTGAGCGTGTCCAAGGACCAGCTAGGAGGCCATTGTGCCTGGGGCAGTGGCTGAGGAGGGCAGAGGCGGGTAACAGCAGGTAGAACATACAGGGCCTTAAGGGCCATGTTAAGGAAGGTAGATTTAATTTCTGACTGATGGGAGTGTTTCAACCAAGGGAAAGACATATCTGATAAGTTCTTTAGGAGCTCATGCCATCTGTTTTGTGGGGATTGGATTGTTGGCAGGAGTGGGTGCAGGGAGACCAGAGAGCAGCTGAGTTTGGCATCCAGGTGGGAGACAGCTATGTCTGGACCAGTGAGGGCAGTACAGTGTTAAGAATGGGTGAGTTCTGGGGCTTCCCTGGTGGCACAGTGGTTGAGAGTCCACCTGCCAATGCAGGGGACACGGGTTTATGCCCCGGTCCGGGAAGATCCCACATGCCGTGGAGCGGCTGGGCCCGTGAGCCATGGCCGCTGAGCCTGCATGTCCGGAGCCTGTGCTCCGCAATGGGAGAGGCCACAACGGTGAGAGGCCCGTGTACAGCAAAAAAAAAAAAAAAAGAATGGGTGAGTTCTGGGCTTTGTTTTGCGGCAGAACAAGCAGGGTCTGCTCATTGATGGGGTAGGAAGGGCAGGGACAACCAGCTGGCTGCTGTTTGTTGAAGCAGACCCTGGCTTGAGGATTTGTGTGTAGTCAACTTACCAAGAGAACCCCACAGAGGAGAGGGGGCAAACAGGACAGGGCCGGGGAGGAAGCTGAGCAAGGAGTGACCTCAGGTAAAATCCTGCAGGAAGAAGCCACAGTCTGTTCCCACAGGGGAGCTCACAGGGATGGGTTACACCTCTGAGTTGTTTCGACACAGCACAGGACATGGGCTTTCCTACCCCTCGGTGGTCAGTCATGGCTGAGAGCCATCCACCCATGTAAACTTCCAGGCACTTTTGGGTCCGGTAGCCAGTGGGCATCTGAAGAAGAATGTTGGATTTTGTCACTGGGGTAAAAGGAATGTGAGTAGATCTGAGCAGATGGTAGCAGTGTCCACTGTAAGTGGGTTTGGGAAGGGAAAGATCATGAATTCACTGGATACATTAATGTCATCAAGATTGAAGCCCTGCGCTCTAGAGCCCGTGAGCCACAACTGCTGAGCCCACGTGCCACAACTACTGAAGCCCGTGCGCCTAGAGCCCGTGCTCCACAAGAGAAGCCACCTCAATGAGAAGCCCGCACATCACAACGAAGAGTAGCCCCTGCTCGCCACAACTAGAGAAAGCCCGCACGCAGCAACGAAGACCCAACGCAGCCATAAATACATACATACATACATACATACATACATACATACATACATTTATTTAAAAAAAAAAGATTAAGGCCCTTTTGTGACTCCCAGATGGAGTTGTTCGGCCCTGCTGTGACCATCTCCTGCAACCCATCACCGGGGCCACAGGTGACCCAGCCACTGGGAGGGACACTGGATAATCCTCTTTACTCTGGCTGGACTCACGGGTTGAGCAACCAGGAGTCTGATGCTTTGTCTCCTTGACCCCCTGTCCACCCTACCCTCCCGTCCCACTTTGCCGACTGTCGATACTGGACCCAGTAACAGACAAGTTCACTGAGAGTGTCTACGTCCTGGCCAACGAGCCATCCGTGGCCCTGTACCGGCTGCAGGAGCACGTGCGCCGCTCTCTGCCCGAGCTGGCCCAGCATAAGGTGAGTCGTCCCCGCCCCAGCCACTGACCTCTCCCAGGGTCTGCACCTTGTGAGCTGGGGCCTACTCTGTTGGTGCAGGGGTCAAGGCTGGGACACCAGCGAGGAGGCACATGGTAACCAGCCCAGACTGGGGCTGGGTGGACAGATCTGGGGCAGATTTGGAAGAAGGGGACAGCAGGGTCTGCATTAGTTGTGACCTGGGTGGTGAGAAGGAGGCAGCCGTGTGAGGGAAGGATATGCCAGGCAGAGAGAACAGCCTGCTCAAAGGCCCTGAGCCATAGTCGCCATGTGTTCACAGAAAGCCCAGACTGATGAGGGGTGGGAGTGGCAGGAGGAAAGATCAGGGGCTGGAGGGGGCTGCTCTCTACAGCCATGGGGATTGATGTTCGGGTGCTCCATCCCAGAGAGCTGGGAGGATGGAGGTAGCAGCCACCCCTGCTAACAGCCCCCAACCCCCTGCAGGCTGACATGCAGCGGTGGGAGGAGCAGAGCCAGGGAGCCATCTACACGGTGGAGTACGCCTGCAGGTGAGCGCCACAGCCTCTGTTATGCCCCAGGTGTTCAGGGGCATCTCAGCCGGCTGCCCGTGAGCCTTGCCCTGCCGAACCTGCCTGAGTAGAGGCATGCGGATCTGGACTCACCTGGCCACAGGGCAAAATTCCAGCCCAGACCTGTGCTTCTCGCTATTTGCTGGCTTCTTCCTGGCCCTCAGCCCCTCCCCATCTGTCACAGGAGGGGCTGATAAGGACTCCAGGAGGTGCCTCAAGGGGCCAATGTTTCCCACCCACGGCGGGACCACAGACTGGCTGGTGGGGTGGATGGCAGCTGTTGGGGAGGGCCAAAACATGAACATGATTGTTTATTTTTTAATGTTTATTTCTTTCCAATTTTTTGTCTTGTGGTTAAGATGCAAATTCATCATCTTAACCATTTTTAAGTGTACAGTTCAGTGGTATTAAATACACTCATAATGCTGTGCAACTATCCCCACCATCCATCTCCAGAATTCTTTTCATCTTGCAAAACTGCAACTCTGTCCCCATTAAACACTAACTCCCTATTCCCTGCCCCCCATTCCTGGCACCCGCCATTCTGCTTTCTGTCTAAGAATCTGACTATTCTAGGAACCTCACATAGGTGGAATCATACAGTATTTGTCTTTCTGAGACCAACTTCTTTCACTTACCGTAATGTCTTCAAGGTTCATCCATGTTGTAGCATGTGTCAGAATTTCCTTCCTTTTTTAGGGCTGAATAATATTCCATCATATGGGTGGACCACATTTTGTTTATCTGTTCATCTGTTGATGGACATTTAGGTTGCTTCCATGTTTTGGCTACTATGAATAAAGTTTCTGTGACCGCAGATATACCATTTATTATTTTTGTTTGTTTAACTTTCTCTAAATATCCAGATTTTCTAACCCCAAGTGAAAGACGTGCCTGAGAATAAAAAGCAGTAGTTGGTGTTTCTTCCCATTGTTGCAGCTTTGCCAGCCTTGCCTCCTGTGCTCCTGTTGGTTCTGTTCCCCATGACTGTATTTCATGACCTGGCTTGTTCCATTTGCTTTAGGAGTTGGCAACTTTAATTAGGAGTGCTGTTTGCCCCTGGCTTGGGCTGTGGGTTGTTTTGGTGGAGGCTGGATGCTCCCCAGCAGCTCTCGTCTGTGGCACTGTGCGGTTTGCCTGCCTGTTTCTGTTGTGTGGTCGAAGGTTCCTTGACAGGAAGTCGTGCCGCTGGGAGTTCTGCCTTCACCAGCCTTGGCCCTTCTGCTGGGATGGGAGGGTGACCCAGACAGATGGCATCTTCCTGAGGATGGTGGTCACAGACACCCTCCTTAGCTCCAGGGAGAGTAGAAAAGAAATGGGAGTTTTTCTCGCAGCTGCTGAATAAGTTCCCAGACAGCCCAGAGTTCATCAGAAAGGTCCAGGTTCAAGGAAGAACAAATCAGTCTGTACTTTCTCCCAGTTCCTCTAGCCGTGCTATCCAGTGCAGGAGCCCAGATCCCAGGTGGCTGTTTACACTTAAATTTTAATGAAATAAAATGAAAGATTCAGCTCCTCAGTCTCATGAACCATATTTCAAGTGCTTAGCAGCCCTGTGCTAGGCAGGGGGCCAGTCTGCTCCGAGCTCTGAGCACTTCTCTTTAGTGAGATGTGAATTTCTCTAATGCTGAAAGACTGTTTCCTTTACGGACATGAAAGTGCCCTTTTAGTTGTCGAAATGCTTTATGCAGCGTTAATGGTTGGTGTAAAACTGAAAGGTATTAAAATGGTACATTGGTTGGGGTGAACTATTCAGTAGTGAGCTTATGTTAGATAGCTTTTTTTCTTCTTTTTTTCTGTTTTTTTTTTTTTTGCGGTACGCGGGCCTCTCACTGTTGTGGCCTCTCCCGTTGCGGAGCACATGTTCCAGACGCGCAGGCCCAGCGGCCGTGGCTCACGGGCCCAGCTGCTCCACGGCATGTGGGATCTTCCCGGACTGGGGCATGAACCCGTGTCCCCTGCATCGGCAGGCGGACTCTCAACCGCTGCGCCACCAGGGAAGCCCTAGATAGCTTTTTATCAAGGTGGACGGGCACTAGGAAAGCTGGTGCTTTGGTGGTGTCAGATGAGCAAGTTAACGGAGCGGCAACAGCCGACGCTCCCGCCTTTTGATCTCATAGCCATAAGCAGGTCCCTGACTGATAATAAATGGGAGTGATTTCTTTGTCTTTAACAGAAGGACTTTAAAACGACCCTCTTATTTTTACTGCAGGTGTCATTGCACAGGCAACTTTCTGGCATTAGCAAGGCCCCACGTGGCTTGGTGAATATGTTCCTGTAGTGCTGTTGGAAGGGACATTTTCATTAGACATCCATCAATGTGGCTTCAACACCAGAGCTTAGCACAGCTTTGCAGTAGTGCCCCTCTAATGGCGATGAGTCTAAACTCACCTCTAGAGCTTTTCACAGTCCAGTTGACAAGCTTCCTTCAGAGGCAGGAATAAGTTACCTAAGAGGAAAGCAAGATATTTTTGAGGTCACTTTTGCATGCTTATAGCTCCTTCAAAGCATTAGATAGTCTAGCAGCCGTTAAGCGAAAGGTGCATGTTGCCATCCAGTGCTCTGTTGCATAGGGAAGTCTAAACTTCAAGCCTACAGTGAGCCCTCAGGGAGGCCCATGGAATCCTCCAGGTGCCTGATGAGTGCTGGCCCGCACAGGCATCCGCTGAGCTCTGGTTGGGGGGCGAAGAGAGCGTGGTGCCGCTGACTGGATCCATCCTCCCATTTCAGCGCCGTGAAGAACCTTGTCGACAGCAGCGTCTACTTCCGCAGCGTGGAGGGCCTCCTCAAACAGGCCATCAGCATCCGAGACCACATGAACGCCACGGCCCAGGGCCACAGGTAGCTCCCGGGACCGCCCGTCCCTGCTGCTCTCAGCCTCCTTGCTGTAAGGACCTTCGCTGCTCAGCCAGGAACTGCCACTTCTCGCTCCTTAGACAGCTCCCTCTTCATCTCACGGTGGCCGGTGACTTCCTTTCATCCTTTGGCGTCTGTAGTGGGAGAGTTCAGTCACTCGGCACCCAGCTCCTGAGCTCTGCTGTGTACCTGGCCCTGGGCTGGGTGCTGGGGACACGGTAGTGACCAAGACAGGTGTGCTCATGGCCTCACGGGGAGACACACAGCAACCAGGTAAACATGGAACACACAAGAACATTTCAGACACATGTGAAGGAGGAAAAGGGCTGTGGGGGCCCTCTCTGGGGAGACGGCAGAGGTGTGAGCAGAGGCTTGAACAAACTGCAGACAGAGATGACCCGGGGTCGGTGCTCCAGGCACGTCGGTGGCAGGGCAGAGGCCTGGGGCCTGGTGAGCTGGGTGTGTTGGAGGAACATCTGAGGTGGGTGTGGCTGCAGTGGGTGAGCGAAAGGGAGACGGGTTTAGGGGGTGGGCAGGGGCCTCGAGGGCAGTTGGGAGGGCGCCCGGAGCTGAAAGAGGCTTTGAGCCAATGACCAGACGGTCTAGAAATGAAAACTACGTACAGTCCTTACATACTGGGGAGAGAGCTTTTGGAGAACTAGCTCTTCTTGTCTTGGTTTTTCATTATAACTTAATAAACACACATGTAAACGCATGCACACGTGCTGTAAGCCATCACTCGACCTGGAGATGTGTCTGGCGCCTGCAGTGTGTGGTTCTGGTATGCCTGTCCCCGACCAGGCACTTAGAAAGAAAAAAAAAAACTGTTGCTGCCTGTGATAATTGAGACAAAAGAACTGTCAAAACCAAAAAAGCCTTAAAAACAAAAAACAAACAACAACAACAAAAATAAAACCCCAAAAATCCTTGCAAATGTGTAAGAAGGGATGTGCAGCAACCTGCCCCCTGAGGGTAGCGTGAGAGGGGTTCATGATGGTTCACTTGCACTAAATAACCATCTGGCTCTGGCTGCTCTGCCCCGGGTGGGTGACAGCCACTGGGACTGGAGTTCACTGCGTCAGGCCTTGCACAGTGCCGTACACACAGTAGGGCCTCAAAAACCATAGCTTTTACTTTTAACTCAGTTTCCCAGCTGCTTCCAGAAGCCCTGCTTCTGCCTGCTGTTGAGAAAATGCACCGTGCTTCTGAAAGACACCAGTAGCAGCTTGCGTAGTAGCAACTCACCTGCTATTGCGTCTCTTTGCAAGCCCTGGGGGTTTGAAGCTCCCAGTCCTACGTGAGACCCAGGCACGACCTCTGAAGTGGGTGGCTGGTCCCGTTTTTACAGAGGATGCCCTGAAGGCTCAGGCCAGGGATCTTGGGGGACTGGAGTGTGACCCCAGTGCACAATCCAGCCTTGCTGAGCAGGCCTCATGGCCTCTGACCTCAGCCTCATGGACGCTGCACATGTTTTGTTCCAGCCCCGAGGAACTGCCCCTGCCCTCTTCAGCCTGATCCCGGAAGAGACTTGGAGGTGCTTTGGCCCCTCTGACTCAGGTCAGTGACAAGTGGGGCCATAAGCCTCTCTGTGCTCCTTGGTCTGAACTAACCCACGTTCTCGGCATCCAAGAACGGACCTACTTGACTAACCACTCGAGTTTTCTCCCTGCGCTTGTAGGATGGTTTCATCCGTGGGAGGCTAGAGGGTAGGGGCACCTGTGCCCTCTGCTGCTCATGGCTGTTGTCAGCCCTTCTCCCTTGTGCTTTCTCTGTCATCTTCCTGCTCCTTATCTAGGCCACAGGCCCTGTCCTGATCCCAAGGACACCTACCCCCCAAGACAGAGGGGAGCCCCATTTTCCATACCCTTCCACATGCTAGCTGCTTGCTTTACCCAAACACATTGTCTCAGGCAGAGCCCAGCAGGACTGTTATCCACCCAGCTCTGGAATCTTCATTCTACTGCTGACCTGCTGTGTGACCCTGAGCAAGTCCCTCCCCACTCTGGTCTCTGCTTTTCCCTTCCATCAGAGTGCTTCATTAGGCGCAGCTGCATACAGTGATGTGTATTGTAGCAGTCAGCTACTGCTGCATGACAAACTATCCCAAAACTTAGTGGCTTATGACACCAATCATTTGCCTGCTTACGGTCGTGCAGTTAGGGTTGAACTCAGCCGGGCAGTTTTGCTGGGCTCCCCTGGGTGCTACTTGTGGCTCTTGTGGGAGCTTGATGGGACCAGATAGTCAGAAGTCACCTCACATCTGGCCCTTGACCAGTGCTGTCTGCTGCTGGTGGGGAGGGGTGTGTCTGGTCCTCCACGTGGCCTCTCCAGCAGGACAGCCTAAGCTCCTGGTGGTTGGGCGCCCGGTGTGCACGTGTTCATCCAGCCTTCCCTTGCTTCAGTTATGGCTGTCCCATTGGTCAAGGCCAGTCACGTGACCAGGTCCAGATGGGCGAGGACTGCAGGAGGGCTTCAGTACTGGGAGGTGTGGTTGACCATCTGAGGAGAGCATGGCACCAAGAAAGGCCTAGTGTCTTGTTATTCTGTGCTCATGCAGGGCAGACACAGGCAGATTGGAGGTACCCAAGGGACTGACTGTACCCGCAGCTTGTGTAGCTCTCACAGCCCCCTGCTCATTTGCTGTGATTGTGCTCTGTGCTGTGGAGGTCTTCTCAGAGGGTCAAGGGAGGCGTGGGAGGGGACAGGGCCCCCACAGCTCCTAGAGTAGCAGCCCCGAGAGCCAAGAGGCAGCAGAGTTCATGGGTGTGCAGAGTTCTTATCGGGCACTTGCTATGTGATGGGCTTAGCTCTGGGCATAGGGCTGATGAGGAATCCCACAGACTGTGGGGTCACTTGGGGGGCATCTGGGAGGGCCTGGAGCAAGAGGGGCTGCCAAGGGGGTCAGCAACCCACCCCATTTCCCCACCCAGTGTTGCCCACTAGCCTGGACCCACACCCCAAAATCTCCCCCATCCTATCCCCTGTGCCCTGGTGCCTCCCACCCTCAAGCCTCAAAGATGCTGCCCTCTCCACCCGTCCGCAGTCAGTGTGTTTCTCCTGCTCCTGCCTGGAGCCTCCAGGCAAGCCGTGAACACCCTGGGTCATCTGCCGTCCCTTTACTGCTACTGCTGCGCCCCCTCAGAACAGACTGCTCTGTGGCTTCGCCCGATCCCACCTGTGTACCTACAGACCCTGCTCTGCTCCCCAGAATTGCCGCCCCACTCCCTACCTCGGAGCCTCCACTCCCACTTCTCCCCAGACTGCCCCCCTACAACAAGGGTTGTAGGTGACCTTCACAGGGTCAAGTCCTGGCCTCCCCTGCTTCTCCAGGCCCCAGGCTCTACACACAGCCTCATTTTACAGAAGAGGAAACTGAGGCCCAGAGAGGCGAGAGGCAGGGTCACCGCCCGTGACCAGAAATGCCAGGATTCACACCCAGACCCTCTAAATCCCAGTGCTTCACCTCTTCCCTCAGCCTCGCCCAGGATTTTCCTCAGATGCCACCTCTTCAGGGCTACCCTGCAGCCCTGGGGGTCTCTCAGACCTCGCCTTGACTCACCTCTTGCCCCCCAGTCCGACCAAAGCTTGGACCCTTGGACACAGCCTTGTGGGACTTGGCAGGGACAGAAGACCAAGTAAGTGTGGCCGGCGCATTCCTCTTGCTCTTGCCTGGAGCCTCTGGGCCAGCCATGAATGTCCTGAGATGAGGCTTTGCTGCCTCTGGATTCTTACCCGCCCCCACTGGCCATGGACACGGCCATGGCCCCTCGGACCAATAACTGCCACCATGACAATCTTGATCATGCACCTACTGTGTGCCCAGATCTGTGCTGGGGGCTTCACAAGGGTCATCTTTCATCCTCAGACAGCCCTATAAGGCAGATGTCACCCAAATGCAGATGGGAAAAGAGAGGCTCCGAGAGGTGGCATTATTTGTGTGAGATCACACAGAGAAGAGTAGACCCCGGCCTAGTTTGGTCCCAGCCCTGCCTCTGACATGCTGTGTGACATGGGTCTGGCACCGACCCTCCCTGGTGCTGCCTTTCTCCATCTCAACAAGGAAGGCTGGACTGGACCTTCTCTGCAGGCTGAGGCAGGCATTCGTGTACCTGCCTGCCTGGACTGCATTCTGCCTCGAGCAGAAATGCCCACCTCAGGCTCAGACCATAAGGAGAAGCCACCCTAACTCCAGGGGTGGATGTGGGACCCTGGCCTGGCTAGTCAGAGCCCCCCATCTCCCAGGTCACAGTGATTGGTCTGAGATGGACATGCGATCCAATGAGGTCTTCCCTGAGGATTTTGCTGGAAAAGTACCATCTTCCTTCTGGGGTTGGTGAGCTCGGCAGATGGACTAGGGGACCTGAGAACATTGCCTGGGGCCCTGGATCCAGCTGTACCTGACACTAGAAAATCTCAATTCTTCAGTTTCATGAGTCCCTAAAATTACTGTATTTGCCAAAATTGCTATGAGTCTGTTTCTGCTGACTTGAGAAGAGCCCACACTGATCTGATCCCTGCGAATTCCAAGCCTGGGAGATCATGGCCCATGGTTTGTACACCTCCGAGGCCAGCTGTGTGCCAACAAAGTGCCCAGCAAAATGTATAAAGAAGAGCAGAATTGAGTTGTCGAGGGTAGAGCTAGGGTGGGTCCCAGGCTCACTGCTGTGGGAGGATCCCCCAGTTTGGCCCAGAGAAGTGGTTGGGCGAGAGGGGTGGCAAAGGCCAAGGGCACCCTAGGGGAGACAGAGAGGGTCCTGGTGGGGTATGAGGGCTGTGGAGGGGCCTGAGGGCCTGGGAGGAGGTTCATGAACACAGGAGGTATTAATAATTGCCTCCCACTACCAGGAAACAGGGTCAGCCCTCTCTCACCTCTCCTAGGGTGTACTGGGGGCCTGTGTGCCACCATCCTGCCTTCCCCCTGCCCCAGCTCAGTTGAGGGGGAAGGAAGAGCCTCAGGTTCACACTGTTTTAGGCCCTGCCTGGTGTGTGACCCCCACAGAGTCACTCTTCCTCTCTTTGCCCACTCCGCAGGCACCTCTCGTCCATCTCTCCTTCTACCATGCAGCCATGTATCCATCAAACATTGACCGTTCTCTCTGAGCTAGGCCCTGCCTGCCCAGGGGATGCCCTGGTGAGCCAGACAGACCAACCCTGGCTCCAGGGCTCAGACCCACTGGACAGACAGGCAGCTAAGTGAGGTAACTGCATGTATCCCAGAGGCAGCCTTGGATGGCTCAGGCGCTGTGAGCTAGTGGGGGGCAGTCATGAGGTGCCCTAGACCTTCCGAGGGCTCCCTATCACCCACGGCCCCTGAACACGACCTTAGCCAGGGATTAACAGTACTCTCAAAGAGGTCTGTGCAGGACTGTGGGTTGTTAGATGCCCCACCACCCCAAATCCTGGGGCTCACAGAGGTGCTGGTTATTTGCTCTTTTCGTGGCCGGCTCGCCTTTCATGCCTGGCGAACGTCCGTCCCCTGCCGGCCGCAAGGGGGCGCAAGAGGCAAAGCCTTGGCTGGGCACTCCGCCTCCGAGCTGTTCTTAGCCCCTGATTCAAGCCCCGGTCCCCAGTCTTGGCCGATCCTGAAGGGTGCATCGTGACCCTCCGTCCTTTTTCACTTCATACGTTCTTGCTTCCATTTTCTAGAAAGCGAACTAAGGCTCCGCAAGGCCAAATTACCCAGCAACACCTCGCATCTGCCTCCACGCTCTGGCCGACTTACCCCCTGCCCCCCGCCCGGAGTGAAGGGTGTGGGCATGCCCAGACCTGGCCCACTAAGACTTGCTCCCAGAAATTGGTGGACAGCCAGGAGAGCGACAGGGAACTCCCCGTGCCACGGGGCATTCAAGTAGGGAGCCTAGCACCCACGGGTGGGGGTAACCTGGAAGGGCTCCCTGGGTTAAGTGTTGGAACTGTCCCCCCCCACCCTCCACCAGTCTCCTTCAAATTTGTGGATGGAGTAAAAGGAGGCCCGGGAGGGCGGTGACTTGTCTCCAGTTGGTCCACAGTGGTCAGGACGGGAATCAGACTTGAGTTTTGGCTTTTTGTTCTTAGCCCCTGGTTTTTTGTTTTGGTTGTTTTTGCGGTACGCGGGCCTCTCATTGTTGTGGCCTCTCCCATTGCGGAGCACAGGCTCCGGACGCGCAGGCTCAGCGGCCATGGCTCACGGGCCCAGCCGCTCCACGGCATGTGGGATCTTCCCAGACCGGGGCACGAACCTGTGTCCCCTGCATCGGCAGGCGGACTCTCAACCACTGTGCCACCAGGGAAGCCCCAAGTCCTAGTTTTTATTTCAGGCCCGCTCTGTACTCTGAGGGTCCTACCCCTGGGAAGCCCCTTCCTGGCCCCTGCCTCATCCCCCAGCAAGGCCTCCAGATGCCCCAAGATTGGTCCGCATGCCCCTACACTACTCAGACCCTCTCCAGGACTCCAGTTCTTCAAGAAACCCATGGAAACACCCCTATTGTGCTACCACAACACACGGCCCAGGCTCCGGGAGACAGAGCTGGACACAG